ATTCACACTGGTATTGGAATAATGATCAAACTTATACAAATTAAGGAAAATTGCGTGGTCAGCGGCGACCACTGTAAAGCCGCACGCCATGACACCAAGGGCGCACGCCGAAGCGACACAGCGAGATGACGTGGGCGTGGACTCAACTATTCATGAATACTAACTCTTACCTTCCAGTTTCTCGTAGCTGGACTATAAAACATGCCAATTCTTGCTAGATTCATTGTCTCTGAAGATGACCTCTTGTACGAGTCCGAAAGCTCAGACTAATAAACATGCTCTTCCAGTGATCGTGCCTCTGTCCTAATTTAGAACAAGAACCCGGGGTCACGTGTTCGCCTCCACTCGTGAGTATACTTGCCATCGTATATATCGGTTAAGAAGGCATATTCGCTTAAGTTTACGATGTAGTATTTTGGCGTATTAAGTAAGCAATGAATATAGGTTGAGAGGATGAAAACACGCAACCGGTTTTGATTAGAACTGTTCAGTTTACCTTGTGCAGTGACGCAACAATATTACAATCCGATGAAGTGCTTAATATAAACCTTTCCATGGAAGTTTGATTACATATTAACAAAGTACTGTCACTGATATTAAGAATTTGCATTTTTTAGTTGGTTTCAGTCGCTCTCCTTTTTTTACTCATTCAGATAGACCGACTTTATAGCTAAAATAATTCTATACTTGCAATGGGGCTGTAGCCTAGCATAACTGACCGTTTATGCGTCATTTAATTCAGTACTTCTGATCTTTAGTCTATATTTCTATGGATCCACTGGGTATAGGCGAAAGACTACACAGTAACATGCAGCCATCTCTCTTTATGTCTTTCTCTTCCAGAACTTGAAACAATCTGTAATCGTCTATGAACGGTAGGATTCGTTTTGCTGACAGACTGTTACGCTTTTTTAATCAGAAAATCTTTAGGTTATTTTCTATTAAGTTGAATAGGACACTCCCCTTTGAATACAGTGTCCGTACCTTTCTGTCTCCCGGGATTAACTGTAAAGATATTGCCTAGAAACGTCACACTACAATGCACTGACGTGATTTGCAATTATCTTATTTATATTTTGGCAAAGTAAGTTCATTCTATTTCAAATACTTGTCAGGAAGAGGTGCCTCAGAGAGTTAATTTCAGCAATGGACACACTTATCCTTGGATCTCATAAATGCAAACCACACATACGATCACAAAGCTATATAATGTAGAAGGAATACCAAACAAGAGGGAGGATGAGGAACAGCTACTTCCTATTGATTGGCCATTGTCAACGAGCCAGCCTTCAGACCCAACGCTGAACAATCTAAGATTCCGACCAGAACGCTTTGGCTGTTGAAATAGCCCTTTTAGAATAGCTTACGTCTCGATTGTAATGAACAGGTCGATGACACTGTGATTCAGTAGTTTGTTGTTCAGTTTGGATTCAGGCTTAAACTTAAGGTTACCCGTGCATGCTCGATCTAGCGATGTAACTCTGCACATAAACGCATACCCACCCCTTACCAGCTTGTCTGCAAATTCATCTAATGCGCGAATGCTAAACCCGAACATGTCGCTGAGACTGGCTTTCTTACTAGAAAATGCATCTGGAAGAACCTGACTGAGTAAGATCGTTGAATAAGTATCAGAACTTCACTAGAAATTCTGTTTTCCTGAAAGAGTTAATAATCAGTCCCTACTTAATATACGATGACGCACAAGCACTTACGCAATTAAGTACATCAAAAACATAATTATCATAATTTCAGTCGGGTATAAGAGGGATGCATGTACTCACTTCCTTGATGAGACGATTTACAAGATCACCACTGACGCCACCAGGATGCATCTGGTCCAGCTATAAAGAAGAAAGTGCTTAAGCAATTTTTACGACACTGTAATAAACATATCCTACAAAAGTCCAATTCAAGCGGGCAAGTAATTTCAACAGGATAAAAATATATGGTGCAAGGACGTTCACCTGTAAGGTTACGGGACCTGCTCCTCTTGTTTTGTCTCAGAACTCGATCTTAAGTCCTAATAGGCAGACATAGTAATAAAGGTGTCTGGAGAACACAGGGCATCAGACAGCTACCTGGGTCACAAGCTGAGGATTGTCTAAATCTTTACCCCTTCAGCCAACTAAATGTAACTCCGGCGGGTCGGATATATTGGCTCTGGGTAACCGTCTGAAGCAGTTGCAGACTACGACCCCCCTTCACCCAACAAGCGAATGTTTAGAAAAAGATGCGAACTGCACAAATTCTTCTCAGGCAAACTCCAGATGCGGGGTCACGCTGGTGTTACCCTTGTAGCGACGCATGTGTAAAGAGTGTGGTCCTGAGGTCGGCTGCTGTCTGTTAGCTCTGACTGGTAGCAGGATCTCAGGTCAAGTAGTGTGAACTTAAGAAAGTAAACTTTCAACCAGCATTTTGGAATGATGACTTCAATGACAGACAAGGCAGGCTGGTCAGAGTGACCGAGTTAAAAGAAATAGTGCAGTTCTTTCCACCCCCACAGGAAAAGAGCATAACTGGAGAGGAATGATGCAGTCAGGCTAGTGACTAATAATCAGACGTCAGAAAGTCAGTCAACCTCTCAACTCTGAAAATATGAAGGTTTTCGACTTGTGAAAGAGCGGCTCTGCGAAGGATCAGTCCGAAAGGCATCATACCTGATATACAAATCAGATTGTGTAACGAACTAATGAATTCATATCAGCCAGCTGGCTTGCTTGCTTGTTTAATATCTAACGAAATCCGTTTTAGTCGGTGGTAATTATAAAACTTGCTCTCAGTCGGTTTTCACGTGGAGCTTTCTCTTGGTAAGTATTATGTTCTCGGTTTTCCAGACGACCAAAAATAGTTCCAGAACGAATGAGTTTAACTGATAAGCCCTGTTGACTGTCTCGCAGCGGCCCATAGTCTAAGGATAATTATCGTGGTTTGTCTTGTGATCATAATTTTTGAGGTTGGTTGACGGTGCAGGTCTGAAAAGATTAAGTTTGTCGACTGGTGACAGAGGACTCCTGCGTTGAGCCAGCCCGAAAGGGATTCCATCGGATATCCACATCAGACTTTATATCAGATTCTGTCAGCCAGTCCGATTAGCGTAAGTGTGTTTGTGTACAGCTCTCGGCGATGGCTGTAAATGTCTCCCTCTGTTGTTACTCTAACGGAAACTTCTTTTATCAAGTATGGAAGCGTCGCTTTTTCAGACGATCAAAAAAAGCTTCAACACGGAAAGTTTATTTGATAATCCCTATGTTATGTCCTGTAGCGATCGAGCACACAAGACAAGGAGATCCAACTGATGCATAAATAATTTTGGCAGTGAGAACTTTGTCTTGGGGAAGATACCTCTCTCTCTCTCCCGTGTGCTGGCTAGCTGCCTTACCCGCGACCCTTCTTCAGTATGGGGTGTTAATCGCAAGCTTGCATGTGGTGTTCTATTTAATGCCTTTGACTCATATAAAGGACTCAAAGACCACGGGCTGAGTCCCAAACATCGGCCCGCCAAAATGCCTTTATGCAAATTAGATAGAGATACCGACAGTCTACACGTACAACTCAAGGATGCCAACAGTTTGTCAAGAACAGCAAACTACCTAACTTACATTCGCACTTTTTGACTCCCCTTGCTTATACCACTAATATGACGAAAATATTGGTTTTATCCTACAAGGCATACCGGTTTTCTCCCTAAACGACTTTTCTATTTTTCTAATCCAATTCAAGTGTTTCTAGTTCAATATCTGTCGTGATATCCTCATTTGCAAATAGACCATTCTACCCTGCCATTTCGTTCTGCTGCTTCCTTTCATTTACCACGTCATCAAGTCCTTAATCCTCGTCTCCTCTATTTTTTTCCCATCGGACCTTGATTATCCTCCTGCGTCTCATTTTTGTCTTTTACTTTCTCTCCTTTACCCCCCTCTGTTGCCTCCAACCGCTACCACTACCACTACCACCATCACCATCATCAGCATTCAAAGCGTATTTTATAGCCCTCGTAACAGGGGTGTGAAGGTCGCATTTATTTTGCGCCGCTGCAGTTGTATCCGATGTCAACAGCAAAACCACTATAACTCGTCCTGATGGGCTTGTCCTGACTAGTTCAAGTCGAACTGCTTTTTGGGAACGCTTGCTACTTCCGGCTTCTGGAACAACCAATCACAGACCAACTCACACAGGACCTCATGTGACGACTGCCGAGCAGACATGACTTCAGACGCCGTCCGCTGGCTTGCGGTTGTGTGGTCGCCTGATAGTCAATTTCCTACTGCGTATTTTCCTATTTATTCGGTACAGAATATACTCTTCCTACCACTCTGGCCTTCCCTTGACTTCCCTCTTCACCTAAGGAACCTGGCCTGGAAGATCGCAGCTGTTAGGGTTAACCTTAATTAGCCTTAACACCCCTTAAAAGGCTCACGTGTGCTAGCGCTGCAATACCTAAGAAGGATTCCTCTGACATCAATCTTCTTCTTTTACTTCTCCAATAGGACAATGTAACAGTCGCATCCGAAGGCTGGAGCCATCCCATAGCGTACCACCACACCTGGCTCAGACCCCTCGGAGTGGCGGTACGATTGAGGCCATATTAGGCAGGAGCCAATACAGCCAGATTCTAAGTCCACCATTCGGCTTATCCCCACAGGTACATACTGGACTGAATGTAAAGCCTGAATTACCCCATCAGCTATCAACCTTCTGAGCCATGGCTTTTAGCGTACCCTGATAGCTTTAAGTGCGTCCGATTTCTGATAGGACGAAAAATACGCTGAGACGTTGACCTCACTCTATTAAAATTCCCAGGTCCCAGCCGCTGTAAAACCGGCTCAGTTGGCTAGTGCGGGAAATTAGCGCAGTCGTTGGCATAAGTAGTAACCCAGTCTGTCTATAACACATACACGACCTGGTTCCCACAAATGCAAACACCAGAAATTCACAGAAAATAGACTGAACGGCATGTATCTCACTTGTATGAGAGGACAGAAGAGCTCAGTTTGTAAAGGAGCTATTGTGACCGGACTCTCAGTCCACCAGTCGGCTACTCCGCACAAACACACACTGGATTAACTGCCAGGTGTGTATTCTATCGTCAGCTGGCGACTTTCTTAGTAATCGCTTTTAGCGCACCGTCATGGTCTCATGCTCTTATCGCACATGGACAGGGCGCCGAGAAACAGCCTCCCGACTTACGTGAGAGCTGCCGACCGCGTGCTTGCGTTTTGTATTGTCGGAACGCGCTCATGTGTGGTGAAGGTGCTGGTCGGGGGAATCGAATTGGTGTGGTATAGCCTGCGTCATTCTACCAGAGGTTTTAATAGAGGCACCTGTGGCCTAATAAGTCTATGTGGTGAGCGAATGCGCATGGACATTTAAAGCTGGTTAGAGAGTGCATGCCGGTGCTTCTGGCGTTGATTCAGTGGTTCCCTTACGATGAATTCGTAATGGATCGATGAGCATATGCGTAACGTGCCGTGAAAATAACGTTAGGATGGGTTGGAGCTGTAGAGTCAGTTGCTATATTCAGGATACTGCAAACCCCGGCGCCCGATCCAGGTGTGTCATTCGTCTGATACGGTAGCTAGTGTGGTCGATACTGCTTTCTGATTAGGTCTCTGACGATGAATCCGCGACGGATCTCGAACTTCAGGCGAATAAAAGTATTGTCCCAGGGATCGAGTCTTCTTCTTCTCAGCTAGTGTGGTCTTTCACGGGTCATACGCACGCACGTACGCATCGGATAATTTAACATTCGTAAAATGCAGTTTAACCCCTCGGTGAAGTACATCACAATTCATACAACAACGTACCAACTGCAGAAGTCTGGATATTTTGTCCTGATAGGCCACGTTTTCGTAACGGAGCACCTTGACCATTGCCTTGTATCTCTCGAGTTCACTCTACAGGTGAAAAATGAAAAACATATTTATATCTCTATAATATTAAAAAGTTCATAAAAAACAAAATGCCGATAAATGTTTTTTTTTCGCCGATCGGTGAGTGGCCATCCACCAATTTTAATGTTCCAAATGAAAAATTGTATGAAAAAGAGCCCGCGGCTCAACGGTGAGAACGTTAAATTTCCGATAAACGGGTTTCGGATTTGATCCTCGCGCATTGTAACACCTGGGGTTAGTATGACGGACTGATGAATGCCAATAAGCCAGAGATGGCCATGTCAGTCTCGTTTTTTTATTATCAGTTATGTCATTCTGCCAATAATGTGAATAATCTGCCAGCATAAGTTGGAGCTTGATCACAGTATCCTGTGCCAGGAACTTCAATCAAAGGCCTATATGAGGTTGTGTAACCGTATCAAAATAATTGACACCTTGTTTGCACATGAACTAATATTTACCTTTAGTTGAATAATTTCATCTTCAAGACGATTGCGTTTCAGGTGCGGTTTGAGGGCCAATATCAGTCGGATCCATGGATCAAAGTACGCAGCCGCATTTCTTTGAATACATCTCACGGCATCATCCTCCTTCTGCAGTTAAAGAAAGAAATGAGTTGGTTTGGTGTTAATACACGGCAAATTATTCATTTCAAAAGGCGATCTTCTGACGCAGATGTTTAAAGCAATCGAACAGGGTTGCCCTGCAACCGAACTTTGGTAAAAATTACTATATTTCTGTCAGAAATGTAGAGTACCTTAGCAGCAAACCAGCCAATACACACAAGATTAAAGTGCCCGTTCTTTAAAATTCCATGACAGTCAGATTAAAGTCAAACTAGGAATTTCGACTTACTCAACGTTATGAACTAAGTAATATGTATTATTATTAGGTGAATGAAGGAACTGCACAAGTAAAATTATCTTTCAAACATGAATAAAGTGCTTTTCAGCGATGTACACTGAGAGACGAATACGCTTTTTGGGAAAGTGCTTATGAACCAGGCATAAATGGAAATGCTGTAATTCACGCTTTTAATATATAACTGGCATGTTTTCGCGTATAGGTTGATTACAAATCGTTTCTAGATGAGAATACGGGTTTTTCCTACGTGCATGTTGTGCAGATGGAAGCTAAACACGGAAGTGCTTCACTTTCGAAACTTCTAAACTTCTACATTTGTAATAGTATACCGAAAGTCTGAAATTTATTTCCGTAGGGCGTGAGAACTTTGTTATACGGTACCTGATCTACTTAGAAGCAAAAGGCTGTTTATTTCTCGTTGTGTTTCAAAGTAACACACTTCTGTAGGCCTTTCGTCACAGCTAAAGAATAATTTACGTGAGGGACTTAGCCCCAGTCCCGACAGTACGCATATGATTACGTAAATGAGGACGAGCTGTGACACACACACAAACCGATTGGATTACGGGATATACACATATCTTTCCAGCCTTCAGTTTTGTCTAGTGCACTCGTAGTTGTTTGCGTAGTGAGCAGTAATATATACGGAAAGGCAAGGGAGGCCGGCAGTACCAATACTGACTTATTATTTGTCGGCAGTCAGCCATGCTCAATCCCATGTTTGAAATACCCACGATTTGAAACCATTTCCGTTTATGTATGGACGAAAAGGTTCGCATTCTAGGTATTTGCATGGATAAGGAAGAAGGATTATCGAGCACCGGAGCAATTTGTTTATTATCATGAGCTTTCTTACAGGAGTTCATCGTCAGAGATAAGAAACGGCAACAAAAAGGGAGTTAATTCTAGCATGTGTATACCAAACGACTGTCAAGGGTCGTCGGGTCGTGAAGGGTAAAAAACAGCGATTAAAAAGGCGGGGAGGAGTGGAAGCAATTATAGAGGCATACGCTAAGTAACCGTCAGTGACGTCAACGTTTATCAGGGCGTCACAGGCCAAAATGAACAGGTATAACTAAACGCATGCTCGGACCGCGCATACATGAACAGAAGTTGGCCATACGACGAGGTGACGAATTATCGCACCTTTGAGGCAGGCCATGAGTTCTATTTGGCTGCCGTTAAGGTACTCGTCTATGCCGGAAACAAGACGAGTAGAGAATCGCTTGAAGCCTGGTCCATGGACGGGAATTCAATCAACCGATGTATCGAGTTAGTGCTGATCCGACGACCCTTGACAGTTGTTTGGTGTTCACGTACCATAATTAACCGCCTTTTTTGCTGTTTCTTAGCTCTGACGATGGACTCCTGTAAGATTTTGAAAGCTCAGGCTATTAAAAAAATTGATCCGGTGCTCGACAATCCTTCTTCCTTATTCATGTTCGTTTATCATTGAGTGCTTGTAAGTTTAATGTTCTATATTTGAGCAACTGATCCGTTCTCCCGAAGATGGTGATCCATAATATCGACTACAGAGGGGGAGGATTTACCAACAAGTTTAAGTGAAGTACTTGTCTTGTGGCGA